GCCGCCGACACCTTTCAGGTTAATCACTACATTCATTTTGTTGTTGTTCCAGGCTAGTGACTTGTTGTAATAGTTTGCGATCAGTTGCGGGGCAAGAAAGCCAAGACCCATATGAACACCGAGATCAACCTGTGAATCGCCAGCATGTTCATCAAAATAAATTACATCCGGGTGATACTTATTCAATGCGTCATCGACCCTCCACATAAACTGGTTGGCGAAAGATGAGCGTAGCGGATCATCATTTCGGGTATGTACGGGTCCATACAGATCTACGGGATCAAAACCTTCCCACCATTTTCCTTTGCCATCCTTAATAGTTTGAAGGGCATCATAGGCAATGGGTGATTGTCCGCTTGTGTCGTACTTATAACGAACAGGCATGAATTGCCCCCACGTGCGTGGTGGAGTATTGTGAAAACCGATGCCAAAATGGAGTCCGCGTTTACGGGCTATCTTTTCCCAGGTGCCAACGATGTCAACTTTCGGTCCGACATTAACTGAATTCCAGGGTTGATAGGTTGAATTCCAGCAATCAAAATTATCGTGGTGAACACCCATTGCCATAAAGTATCGCGCACCCATCTCCACGACAAGGTTCATCATGGCTTCCGGATTCCAGCGATCGATCACCCAGTTATGACAAATGTCTTTGTATCCATATTCCGAAAGTGGCCCGAATGTATTTGTATGAAAACGGTAAACAGGATCGTTTTCCATATACATTTTCCGGGCATACCAATCACCTCTTTCCGGCATCGACTGCGGATCCCAATGTGCCCAGGCTCCAAACTTGGCATCGCGCCACCATTCGGGAACGATGTAACATTGGCTTATCGCTTTCCATTCGGCATTGTAGGGTCCGTTTGCAATGGGCAGCGCCGGTAAATTGCAGATGTCAGGAGCCCGGCCAGTATGACCTTTACTTAATTCTATCTTATCAATATTTACAGTGACGTCTCCAACCCCGCGGCTAATAGTGATGGAAGAACCACGGTTAATATTTACAGTAACAATTGCATAGAGATAAGAACCTGTCAATGCACCAGACGAGTGAACATTTACTTTAACAGGCGCATTGTTGTTGACCGCAATACTAATTGTTCCAACCTCTAAAGATGTATAACGCACCGCGATGGCAGTCGCAGCAGGAAGGTTTTTGAGAGTGATCGATGCCCCTGGGTTGGCTAGCTCTACGAGATAGCTACCT